TACTGAAAAATTAAGTTGGAAACCTTTAAAGCGTATGTAATTGACCTGCAATGTCCAATTGCAGGTTCTTTTTCAGTTGCAAAAAGTTGTAATTTGATAACTGTAATTGGACACCCACTTGATCGGGTACCAATTATATGACTAATAGGCTTGCAGAGGACCAATCACATCAGATAGATAATAGATTAGGGTGTAGATGTTAGATGCAGATAACACCCTGGGAAAGACTCCCATGTAAAAAAGACAAGGGTGCTTGTTGGAAAGTTTGGAAAAAACCCGGCCTAAGAGGTACCAAGATACCGTTTTGTGGGCATGGTTTGAATTTTTTTTTCTCCCCTAAGAGGTACCAATTCTTGCATGACACATTATCTCCTGTCATATTTTTTTAGCTCAATACCCTAAAAGGTACTGCAAAAGTTCTCACTGTGGACCTTTTGAGGCTAAACACCCTAAGAGGTACCAAAACTGTGTTTTTAACCCCTAAAAGGTATGATGAGCACCAATGTCATTTTATATAGGAGTTCCCCCCCTGGGACAACACATAGTTTCCATTTCATGTTTATTTTCAAGTAAAAGTTTTAATTAACAACTTTTTGTAACAGATCAAATTACAACTTTTTGCAACTGAATACCTGCGATTGGACTTTTGCATTGTTTGCAGTTACTCTAATTCTACACCCATGTGATCACATACCAATTACATGACATAAAGGCCTGCAGATCAGAACCAATCACAATCATGTATTTGCTATAGTTAAATTAATGCAGATTAAGGTATAAATGTTACTTGAATGCAGATATAACACCTATTGTACATGTAGTTTCCATATTCTCATGTTTGTTTACAAGCCTACTTGCTTTAAGGAGAGCTAAAGCCAACCTCTCNAAATGTTACTTGAATGCAGATATAACACCTATTGTACATGTAGTTTCCATATTCTCATGTTTGTTTACAAGCCTACTTGCTTTAAGGAGAGCTAAAGCCAACCTCTCTCCTGTGTTTCCCCCTATGCTTCAAATGCTAGATGTATTCAGATAGGGTATTGTCCCTTCTATGCTTACATATTATGTGCATATAATTTGGTATCTATTACTGATAGACAACCTGTTATTTACTGCCAGTGTTGCACTAAAAATGGAATTGTTAGGTCAATAAGTTAAAATAGAGATAAATACTATATTTTACAATCTGTTGTCTCATACTTTTCTTGGAGAGAAATCCTAATGTGGTTGAAGACTTGCTGTTTACCCTTACCCTCCCTCATAAAATTTTAGATATATCGTGTACATGGCTATATACCACACTAAGCTGCCAGGACATGTCATGACAGTCAGCATTGTTACAACTTACAGATGCAATCACCTTCTGATTTATAGACTATGTACATGTACGGCCACTGCCTTTCATAGACTTTTGTAATGCAGGCTGCCCAAGACAGCTCTGTTGTTAAACCCAGACAGAGAAGACTTAGTACTGCTCATGCCCGGCGTCGAGCAAGAGTTTACTCCAACTCAGTCAAAAGAGAGTTACTGGAGGAGCAAAGTGTGGATGAACTGAGGAGCTCACATGAGTCAGGTCCGGGAAATCTGGGAAATGGATCTGCAGGTTTCTTGAGAGGATTGTTGGGTGAGACAGATGGCCTTATTAGGGGTGTATCTGAGAGATATGAAACACAAAGAGAAGTAAGTCAAAAAATAAAAAGTAATGAATCTGTCTGTACAATGTGGTTTGCTATGGTATCCTTTCTTACTATATAATTGGTACTATAACTTGTAATCCCAGCCAGTTCTCTAAGTTGTTTCGTCATGTATAATGCCTTCTCACACAATAGACTTTTATAAGTTATGTGATATGCATTGTACTGTAGATCAGTAGAATTTATCAAATATACATGTACAATGATCGATGTATAAATATGTATATTACTGGCAATGACAACTCATATAGTAATGAAGGTTGTCCTAAAAATATTATAAACATTTTCGAATATATTTGTTATTATGTGTGCAGTGTGCACTAATAAGTCTGCAATGTACTGTTATGTTACATGTA